AGGGTCGGGGATGAGGAGTGAGCGGGCGAGCTGTTCAGGATATTCATGATTTCTGTACTTAATGTTGAATGATTAAACTTTTCAAAACTTTTTATCAGACTTTCATGTTATTGCCACGCTAAGACTTCCGCTAAAACCTTCAGACTTGTTCCGACATTAGTCGGATAATAAATTATAACCGTTTCACGTTTCAGTTTTAAATTCTAACGGTTTTCAAAAGTCATGTTTTCACGGTAACCCCCGAATCAGTTTCGCAAATTAAAAAGCTAGTTTATTTATTTATTTAATTATTCAGAATATTTGCGAAAAACCGCGTACTCTGGTGTATTAGTCAGTCGGGGCGTTACATATACTGATGCTGATATAGCCGGAGATATTGATTGTCAAAAGTCTACTTCAGATTCTGTCTATACTTTTGCAGTGGGAGCTATTTCTTGGCAATCAAGGTTACAAAAGTGTGTTGTTTTATCTACAACATAAGCTGAATATATTGTTGTCGCTGAAGCTGGTAAAGGGATGTTGTGGCTAAAACGCTATCTCCTTGAACTTGGGATCAAGCAGAAAGAGTATAAGTTATATTGTGATAGTCAAAGTGATATTGACTTAAGCAAGAACTTTATTTACCAATCCCGCACAAAGCATATTGATGTTCGGTGCCACTGGATACTCGAGAAGATTGATCAACAGCTATTGAAACTAGTGAAGATCAACACGAAGGAGAATCCATGAGATATGTTAACAAAAGTGGTTACACTTGATAAACTTAAGCTATGCAGAAACGTAGTAAGAATGCTTGTTCAGAACTTACATGGAAAGGGAAAAGTTCCATGCAATACACAAAAGTCATCAATGGCTAGCTATGTTCTATGCAAGCCCACAAATGAAGAAGTCTTCAATGAGTGCCTCCACCAACCTTCTTCTTTCACACACCATTTGTCAACAATGGTGTGCTTGATTGTATCTTTAAATAAGTTGCATATTTCATTCATTTGAATCATCCTAAAGCGTGATCAATCAACCTTTAGAGTGTTGAAACACAACCAAGTAGAGTTGTGGAGAGGTTTGAGAGTTCTTTTTTAGAGTTTGTAAATCTCTTGTTTTTATTTTTGTGAGTAATCGAAACTTATTTTTTTCTCTCATTTATGATTATGATCTTGAGGTGATACCACAACAGTTCTTAAGTGTGGATTTTGAACTCAAGCATATAAGAACACGTGAATACTATAATAGTGTCCACTATAAGAAAACGTCAAAACAATTACAAATATTATCAATAGAATTTATTTTTGGTAAATACCAACATATTACCTACAAAATACCAACACAAAATATTACTGCAAATCACAAACAAAAAAGAATACTAGACAAATATTTGTAGGTAATTTGTAGTTATATACCA